TTTTTTTAAATAATTATGTTAATCAACAATTCGTAGGTAGTAATGGCTGATTTTGATTGTTTAATTTTGATTATTTAATTTTCAATAAATTTTTATTTATTGTTACTTTTGTAAGTGTCAAGTGATTTCAGTGAGAATTGTGGGTTTTCCCTTCTTTAACTGAGGGGTACCAACAATTTTGTCCACGTGTGTAGGTTTCACGTGAACCATCACACAAATTTAATGTCATGAAATACCCACTCCCTTTTGCACTAAGGTTATATTTGATCACAATGTAAAACTTCTGCGCCACATTAAGAAAAAGTTCAATTATATTAGCCTTCTACCCAGGGTGTGAGTGACATACAGTAGGTACAGATAAACAGTATACGAGTTCTGACTTCCGGCGGAAATCAAGTTACATCGCACCAATCCATCCCTCAATAATTAACTTACGGTACTAAAACTTCTACTGCAGCTACAGCTGCGACACACATAAAAAAGCATCACTTCATAAATGCAACATTATTTAGGAATATACTATAATGTACTCACCGAAAATCCTGTTCATTTCCCCGCAAAATGCATCCTCTTGTCTTTCCTCAAGAAAAGTTCAGTTACTCCGTCGTACAGATTGTCCGTGCGTTTCAGTTCCATGAAGACGTTTTTTTTTTTTATCGCCATCGAAGCTGACGCTGAAAGTCCAGCCTGCCCTGTGTAATTTCTGGCATCAATTTTAATTCGCTTTAGGGCTGAAAATGTCCGTTCGACAGAAGCAGTAGACACGGTGATGGTCAACGCCAAACAAACAAATCCTGCCGTGGAGTTGGTGGTAGTAAGCGAGGATCTTGCGCTGGACCTCTTCTTGCAGTCGGAAGCCCGTGCGATGAGTTCAATGGCCTCATAGATTTCCTTATTTCGGCTCCTCTCTCACTCAACTGTGTCACAATACTCCTCTAACCTTGTCAAACAAAAATGTACATCCAGTTTTTCTCCTGTAGTACTGAAAAGAGGACATCTGATGTTGATCTACACAACACTACGGTGGCTCATGAAGCTGGCTACAGGTGCAACTTGTTAGCGCTGGCTCGCACACTCAAACAACCAATCAAAGGGTGTGAATGCGCTGACGTTTCCGTACGCCCGCTAGAGGGGCTTGGTCTCGCCAACTCAAAATCTGATTGGTTGGAGCAACATTTTGATCGACACCTATTTTATGCCACGGAGCCCGCAGAAATGATTGTTAAAGCCCATGGGCAGATTTCTTTAACCCTGGCAACAAATGATGACTGACATGTGATTGGTTAAATGCTTAAATAAGAAAAAACACCTCTGGAAGCAGCGCAACCAGGGGAAAGCGAAGAAAAGAACATTTGGAGTGATTTAATAATTATTAATGGACAAAATATAGTAAACATCAGTCTGTGATTCAGATATTATTTTAGACCAGCAGCTGACGGCCCTCTGTCTGTCTCTTTTCTCTTCTGTCTGTTCCTCAGTGGTAATCAGTCAGATCGATAGATAGATGTAGAACTTTTGTTTAGATTAAAAAACATTTATGATATTAATATTTGTTACAAATGTGGCAACCCAAGCATCATGTCATGACCAAGAGTCTAAGGGAAACCCGGTTTAAACCATTTATAATGAAATATCTAACAAATGCTTTTTATCTTGGTAAATTGCAGAAGTCTGTTGCAGTATTTGGTACAACGACAAAGTTCTGCGTGGTTCCTTCTTCAGTAAAGACAACCTTTTCAATGTCCTGATGTTTATTATAATCAACACAGTGCTCTTCTTTCATCTCCTCCAAAACAAACAATCAAAATGTACGACTTTAGTCTCATAAATGTATGACTTTAATCTTGTAGATTTATGACTTTATTTTCATAAATCCAGACTGAATCTTGTAATTTTAGTATTTTTTCTCCACCGTGGTCCCAATACTCAGCCAACTACGGTGAAATAAAAATGTTTTTGTGGAAATGTTTTTGCCATCCAACACAGCTTCACAAATGTCAACTCTCTGAACTGCTACCCTTCCCTCCGTGATATGATTCAGTGCAAGTTGTGACAAACTATGGTTTTAAATTATCACCTGGAAAATAAGCTAATAAGAAACATTAAAAGTGAAAGTCCAGCTTTTGCATTTTCTGCAGCTTTTTTTTATAACTGTTGTGAAAGTAATATACTGTATTCGTCACCACACACAATAAAATGTGTCCTCACTTTAGTGGGGTTCAGTGCACCTCAGTAGCACCTTGGTGGCTTGTGGATTCGAACCCCCAACCTTCTTAACCATCAGGCCACCACTCCCCCAAATGTTTACGAGTACAACAATTCCCGAAAAAAGTGATTTTTAAAAATGTAACAAAGAGAACAAGCTTTGTTTTCTTTACGTACACACGTTTATTTTTCGTCAAAGCAAACGGCCCTTCTTTGTTTGGCTATGTATACCTGAGGGAGGCCTATTCTGGCAGGTAAAGAATCTTCAAAATGAGAGCGAATATCCACAACAATTGCCAAAACAACAACAAAAAAATCCAAACGTGTAAAAGGAATTCAGACGCACATTGGCAGATTATTGGTTTAAATTTGAAAAAAAAGTTTTTCAGATGTGGCAGTTTCCACCTGTATACGTATTTGTACATATATAGTGTAAATCCAGTGTACTATATAATAACAAATGTAGCATTTTTCTCTGATATTTAAATCGCGAGCCTGACCTTGTCTTTGAGAGATGTCAAAACATTTCCATGCATCCATCTGTATCTGTATAAGTCTATAGAGGACATGACCAGTGACTTAAAAAATGAAAAAGGAAAAAAAAGAAGTCATTGCCATTTTCTATACATTATCCTCAGAATATTGCACTTTTTCATGTCACTTTGTGAAAAACAAAATACAGTTACAGTTATTAACAGACTCGTTTTGGTAATAGCAGAGAAGAAGAAACATGCCTACTGTCTGGAGTCTGCTTGGTATATCACTACTGAGGTGTTCCTTTTTATTACCGTACAAATGTCGTCGTAACTGCTTCATTCAAAAGTCCTTGTTAGTATAACATAACGACATGTATCCCAGGACATGTAAAACACAATTATCCATTTTGTCAAGTGTTAACCTGTTTACAATACACTCAACTCAACCTTACCATTAAACAGCACAGCCTAGAACGTACAGTATTTCCAGGTTAGGCTGTGTCTATCACCATTCCTTCCATTCAGATTCTTCATCTCAGCTCTGCTGACAATAGAGTTGTGCTTGTTTTTACTGAAACACTGTGCAAAGTACAACAATACAGTAGCTTTATTCAAATAAGCCAGCAGTTTGAGCACTGTTTAAATAAAAAAAAAAAAAGATGCACAGTAATAAAACACAAACAGGACAACGATAGAGTTTGGCTTGCATAGCAAAGCAAAAGAAAACCGAAACATAAAAAATATATTTACAATGTACGCAAGTCCTTTTTTTTTTTGTTTTTTTGTTTTTTTTTGTTAGTCGTTTCATTGCATCTCAGCTGTGTGAACATCATGTGACAGAAAAATAGAAGCAGACACTAAACAAACTGTTCACCATACTGCAGTGAAAATAGGATTGTGAGACATTGTGAGTGTCTGTGTCTGTACATCACATTTACAGCTTTTTCTTTTGTCTCCCACCTTTCCTCTTCCGCTCCATCTTCTCCCAACATCGTTCTGCGGCACTCGCAGTGAGAGAACCTCACGGTGCTTAGAAATAAGGGCGTCCTGGAAAAGCAGGCATTAAATGACAACGCTTCAGAGAGGCTCTGTAAAAGGAAAGGCAGAAAACACAATTGAAAATTGAGAATATGCCTCTCAATACAACATGACATTTATTTATAACTAGCATAAAAGAAAAAGTTATGATATTCTGGAAATATATTAAAAAAAAAAAAGAATCATAACATTATCGATGGCGTTCTGCCTTAGTAACAAAGTACATTGGATTTCTGGGACGCACTCAATCTCCGTGTAGATATTTCATAGATTTTTCAAGTTTTTCATAACATTTAAAGCCCCATGTGGACCAGGACAATCCATCTGGGTGGTTCAAGTTGCAACATGGTTTCCTGTATTCCCTCGTTCTGATGATGCTTTCTACTGTAAACTTATTGTAAACTAACTTATTCAATTACAAATAAATCTATAGTTTATAAAGGCTTATTTTATATATGTTTTTATTTTATAGTTTGTTTTTAACCTTTTTTGTACCAAGGTACGAGTACCGACTGCTACAGCAGAACGGTTGTTGAATTCTCATTAAGGATTATTAAATTTTCATTAAAAAAACCCAAGCATTTCAATATATTCTAATAATATTGCAGTCTCAATGACAATATTTTTAAATATATATTTTTACACGAAGAAAGTAAATAGTGAGTGGATTCTCTTTGAATGACGTAAAATTGTCAAAATAAAATACATTTATTAGCTGTGTCCCACTGCAGTATGGCCCGGTACTGGTCTGTAGACCGGGGGTTTAGAATCCCTGATCTATAGTCTACCTTTTATGCAATACTTTTCATTGAAGAAAGTAAAAAAAAAAAAAAAAAAAAAAAAAATTTAATTATTTATTATTCCTGTCTCTTAGTCTATAATATTAAAATAAAATAATTTATTAAATTAATACTACACAAATGTATCTTTTTGTCTAATGGACAGTAGTTTAACCAATTATTTTCAAAAACTACGTGTTTCTATTAAATCACATGTTCCTGCACCAGTACATCTGAAAATCAGAGGATATTAGAAAACAAAAACAAACAATGGCTCAGTGTTATATTTAGCTGCCTTGGTGCTTAAAATGACTTCACGTATACCGCAGGTGCTCGCGCACTGATTTCTCACCACGAGGAGAGATCCTTACAGTAGTCCCTTTTCTCTCTTCTGTTACTGGGAGAGTGAGCGGTGTGAGAAGGATCTGTGTCAGGCCTCTTGTAGGAACCTCTGCTCAGACTGGCCCTGTTAGACGCCGCCGTATCACTCCAGGAAGCCATATGCTGCCGCTCCAGAGTCGACACCGTCACCATGCACTCCTTAGAGGGTTCTGAGGCTGCAGCTGCCCACGGGCTGTGGATTTTGGAATCCAAACTGTTCACAGGAGGTGTGTAGGCTGTGGAGTAAATAAACAAAACAGAATTCCAGGTCTCAGCTAATGATCAGTGCTGCTGGGTTATCCTTCAGGGGGGGGGACGTTACTCACTGTGTGTGTTAGTGTCTCTCCCTCTAGATGTTGGCCCAGCCTTATCCGTCTGAGGTTTGAGGGCAGTAAGTGATGCCCTCATGTGGCCAAGGCTATGCGTGCTGTGTGTTCCATAATCTGATGAGCCAGAAGTATCTGAGTGACATGACTGGAGCGTTTTACCTGAATGAAGCAGGATGGAGATTGATTGATATAAAGTATTTTGCCTCAGCAACTGGATGTTTTGATGCTGACAAACTGAATTTTCTGCTAAAGAGAAGTCATAAGATTTAGAGAAATAATAAATTGAATCTAACTTCACTACTACATCAAGGTAATTCAATGTCTTACAAAATGCAACATAAACACATATTTTATATATTTTATATGTCAAAAAGCATCAATTCCAATATGGCATCTGCTAGCAATTTCCTCAACCTTGCTGCATGGTTCCTGATTTGACATCTGTTGATGATACGTAACTGTTTCCTTAAAATACAAACTTTTACTTTTACTTGTCGCAAAGTATGCTGAACTGTAAGTGCCAATACGTGCCCCTGATGGTACGGTCAGCCACTGTGAGCCCAGTGTTGTCTTAGGTAGCCAACACTCTCTCTGATCGAGAGAGTCTGCACTGATCAAAACCTTGACATAACCAAATTGCAGTAGTGTTTATACTTTACCCAGGAAAAATACTAAATATTCAAAGGTACCAAATCAAATATTCTAAAGTGCCCATTAATGTTGATAAATGTGAACAACCATAGCAATTAGAAAGAAAGAATAAGAAAACAAAAATAGCAAGAAAAACAACAACTTGTAGACCAGGCTTTTGGCCTCCAAGCTGTTAAATTCATTATTAAAGTATGTGAAATGTAAGCCCCCAACTGTGTTACATTTTTTAGCAGATGCTTTTATCCAAAGCGATTAGGGATATGTGGTTCGTCTGGGAATCGATCGCAGAACTCTCTGCCCTTTCCTTGCAAGGCAGTAGTGCTAACCATGTGTTGTGTAAGAACCTTACAAACGGCCACGATTAGGGATTGGTCAATCAGATACTCAAGATCAGTATTGGTCCGATAGTGGTAATAATACCTAGATCGAAGATCGAAAAATACAATAGCATGTCAGATCCGATACCCTAAGCCCAAATGCTCAACTTAACTTTACACACATGCCAAACAAGGACACTAACGCGTCAAAAACAGCCACCTGTATCATACCGGAGGAGAAAAGAAGGTATCGCACCATCCCTACTTGCAGTGCAATACAACTGATAATGATTGGTTTTTTTTTTTATTGCTTCTTCTAAACCAACAATAAACCAACAATCTCGATGTCTTCATTATCTTTGTTTAGAAACATTCTCCTGAGTTTTTCCTTTATCTCCTGCCTCGAATAAACCAACAATCTCGATGTCTTCATGATCTTATCTCCTGCCTCACAGGTGACTCTCCAACATCCTTTCTGATTAAACCACTATCTCTGCTGAGCTCACCTCCAGACCCTCGTTACCTTGCCTCTATATCTCTACATATCTAAACTGCTTCAAAAGTCCCCCAAGGTTCTGCTTGGTCTGTCCCTCTAATCTGCTGTTTTCTAATCCTAATACACGTATATACTTTTCCTGACACAACTCTAGCTAATTATTGATATACTGGCAGGGGGAAAATACAGGAGGTCCTTGGCTTACAACGTCCTTGATCTCCAGGGTTTCGTGGTCATGTGGCCATCTCCAATGATTTTTTTTAAAGAAATTCCTGTTCCATCATTCCAACGTACGAGGTTAAAACAAATTTCCTACGGGAACAGGGTGGCGAGTGAAGTAAACCAATACTATACGTGTAAGACACCCTTATTTACATTGCCAGTTGTACGCCATACACTGGACTGTGCTGTTTGTGTGTTGTTTTTGTTTAATTTGTCTTTCATTATGGCTCCCAAATGTAAGTCAGACTCTTCTGGTGTTTTCATGTCCTAGATTATGCTGTTACCATTGTGTTAGCATAGATGAGCGCATAGATACTGTATGACTTCCTAAGAAGTTACGTCGGAACGGAATTCAGACATAAGTCGAGGACCTTTGTACATCAATACATGGAGAAAGAAACAAAATGTCTGTGCAGTAGAGGTTTTTGTACTTGCCTAGATAATAAAATATCATCAAAAAATTCTGTTGCATTACAAGAACTGACCAGATGTACGTAGATAAACAACACATTTTGAAGACTTGGGGTAAAAGTGTTTAGAAAAAATATGAATACAAACCCTACAAAGCCAAGTTGTCTGGTTTTACCATTATCTTTTCATACATGTGAAATCTAGGTTTAGCGAAAAATTGTGAAATGTTTCTGTCCTTCTATGAAGTAATGGCTTAGACACGAATGGGTTATTCTGGGTCATTTCACTCAATTGCAAATCTTCTCAGATAAACACAGTTTGGCTCCAGCCACAATGTCTCAATTTAAAGCTTGAACAGTTCCGCTCAAAGCTTCTCCAATTGTCACAGAGGATTTCTTTCGCAGTAAATACGTAGCTTTTAATTCTGTGTTTGTGCTTTAATGGCTTTCTCCCAAACATTAATATGAAGCATGTTTACATTGCTTCTTTTAGCATTTTCCTGTACTGTTTACTTCAAATGTCTTATATTTTTATGCATTACAGAAAAAAATGACTACCTCTCAGTACCCACGAAAATACATGAGTTTATGTTCAATGATAGCAGTAAATAAAGCAACTGGATCATAGAAATGAATTGATTTATATTGTACTGTTCGCAGCTAATATACTGACGTAGCTTAAACATCACATTTATTTCATTGATCTTATGCCATGGCTTGTAAACAGTGTGGTTTTTCCCCTGTGAAATAAAGTACTGATGTTACTGTACATACATGTCTGGGCCTGAGTTTTATGAATTGTTTATGGAAAAAAAAAACAACATGAGGAGACTACTGTCACAGAGCAACGTTCCTGAAAAAGTCCCTGTGTACTTCATCAAAAGACTTACAAGTAATCCTCAATAATTTAAACAAAGAGTCTTCTTGTTGTTTTTTTTCTTGGTTTGTAGCTGAAGTTCCACAACTTTCTGAGACTTTCATCATATTTTGTTGGGTGGCAATAACGACCTAGACTTAAATGTGTGTCAGACCTACCTGAGCCCTCATGGTTATCAGCGCCGTGTCCAGGAATGTATTCGAAGCCACACAAGTTGCTCGACACCACTGCATATTTGGACTCCTCGTCCTCGTCTTCGTCCTCGTCCTCATCTTTAGAAAGGAGAGTTGCTCCCAAATCGGAGACTACAGGGCTGGACATGAAATCAATGGGAGGGATGGGGTCCTTGGACATACTAGGCATGCTCTTCATGTGCCTGATATTCAAATTGGAATAAATAATAATGCGTAAACACAACGCACATGGAGTGTAAATAGCTACAGTACTTTCACAACCTACTATCTAACTGTGCTGTGTGATGGCGGAACAGAACGAGGCTTTAATTGAACTGAATAAACAGCACATGGACGTGTTGGTTGTCACCAACACGCCTGTTATCTCCCCCACAGCTGTCCTCAATGATAGCTTGCATCCTAACGTGTAGAGGAAGCATGCAAATTACCACTTCTATTTACTGGTGTCAGAACAGCATGTTAGACTAAACCCAGTGATTACTGTCCCAAACACGTTGCCGCTGACTTGTCAAGTTCTGCAATGCTCCATCACAGGTGTAATACGTGGAGAGCTGTTTTTAGCACTTGCAGGAAGCAGAGACGGCAATTGTAAATACCATCATTCTGTGATAACCAGCTATCGCCCATTCATATGCAAAACACATGGCAACTGTGCAAAGCATGTGTGAACCCAAACATTATTCAGGCACCTCAGATTTTCATTGTACTGTATTTTCCAGACTATAAGATGCACTTTGTTTCATCCTTTGGCTGAGTTTGCGACTTATACTCAGATGCGACTTATATATTAAAATATATAATTTCACATGTTTTTTATTTTCACACTAACAGCCACTAGTGGGCACTCTAGGCTTGTGTACCAGTATCTGCTACTCCTGCGCCACTGAAAATTCACATGTTCGTTATTTTCACACTGCCAGCCACTAGAGGTCATTTGTGTGACTTATGATACTCTGGAGCGACTTGTATATGTTTTTTTTCGTCTACATTATGCCTTTATTCCGGAGCGACTTATAATCTGAAAAATACAGTACTTAGAAATATGGTTGAATAAAAGCCATTTTTAAAAGACCCCTACCATGCCTGCTTAGCCACCTCATATTGGTAAGCTCTGGTGAGCTCGTCCAAATGAGCCTGCAAAATGGATTGCATTTCCTCATGGTGGGAGGAGCTAAGAGAAGATGATGACGGCTGGCCGAACGGTGCTACTGCCGGAGACGATATTCCTCTCAGTGGAGGAGTGGGACAGTGCTTCTCCTCCAACTCACTGTCCAAGTTTTGGTGATGGTAGGTCTGAACCGACATGGGTGAAGCCCAACTGGTGCTGTCAAATCTGCTATTAGAACAAAAACACATGATATAAAAATCTGAGGGTTTTTTTTCCACCTCAATTGATCTTTAAGTAACATATATATTTTCAATATGTGTAAGTATGAGGTACTGACATATGGTCAGCGCTGCAGTAACTTCATATTCTACCTTCTTATGCTCCGCAACCTTCCATGTCAGCGCTGCAGTAACTTCATATTCTACTTTCTTATGCTCCATAGGTACACAAGAGACCTACATTTCAAGCACTTCAGGAAAAAGTTACCATTGTGTGTTTAGATTTACTCTATACTAGACTAAAATACAAGTTTGCAGTGTTCGATTTATGCAGGCTGTACAAGCATTGGTTTCCAGTCCAAAACTTTTGATTGTCAGTGAGACACAGCACTGGATTTATACAGTATGGCGTTGGGTAGAATTCTGGAGGATGTCATTCACATTGTCAAGTTTCTTTACAATGTTTTCACAGTATCAGTTGAAGAAAAAAAAACAACAGGCCAGGCTGTCACTGACAAAACCTAAGGGTATTTTGGTGGCTTGAATTTGCAGTATAAGCATTCAAATAGAATTCTCAACTCAATGCCATTTGTATTTGAAGTGTTGATTAAAAAACAACTAGTTGCAGTATGACCCTTTTTGCATCGTAATTTAAAGTAACTAAGTAACTTTTACTCAAAATAAATTTCAATTTTTTTACTTTTACTCGAGTAGCTTATTAGGTGGGTACTTCTACTTTTACTTGAGTAGAACTTTAGCCAAGTACAGATACTCTTACTTGTACCATGTACATTTTGCTAAAAGGTTGATACGTTCTTGATCCTGTTACACGTTTGTAATGTGTAAAGAGTGTAAGTGCTTTGCAGTGTTTGTCTTACCGTCCATCATGGCTTTCCTCAGGATAGCAGTCGAGGTCAACCTCCGTACCAGGGAGTGGGTGCTTTCGTGGTTGAGGCAGCGGCATATTACCCCAACAAATCTCATTCGATTTGGGAGTCTTTGTTCCACTCTTCACCTTCTTTTTCTTCCCCGCCTTTGCACCTAAAGATTATTCAAGATGGAAGAAGGTTTGACCCGTTCTACAAAAAAATCCCTCTGCAATCCACCCACACACATGGACTGTTACTTTAGAGGAGCCTTCTGTTTGTGAAGTTTTCTAAATATTTTTTATTTCAGAATCCAAACTACTTCAAGGATGTTAGTTGCTTTTGTCAGCTTTTGTCAGACAATTCAGAGTTTTTTTTTATCTGAATAAAAACAATCCCACACAGTGATGTCTACCTACTGAAGCCCAGTTCTGCAAAGATCGACATTTAGCAGTCCTAGAAATTTACAGTACACTACAGTAAGTGAAAGGAGAATATTCATTCTTGACTTTTACACTGTGTATGTACAGCGCATAAATAACTGAAAGGAGACATTTCCCTGCCACAACTAATCAAATTAAAGCGAAAGAATGTGTCATAACCGTGTGACATTTCTGGGCTAGATGAGCTCTCAGGGTATAATCGTGATTAAGACAAGAGAGAGTAATACGGAACATTGTCCTTAGGGAATCATTTTACGTGAATATGTAAAAAAAAAAAAACCTTTCCTTTTGGCTTCCCCTGCTTCCTGGTTGATTTAAAGGTTTATATGTATTTATTATACTTGGAAAAAAGTAATCCTGTCAGACTGTTTCACTTTCACCAGGGGTGGGCAACCTTAAACACTCGACACAAGAGCCGTTTTGGACTGAGAAGAAAACACCGGGAGCTGCAAAACCCTTTTGACATCTAAAACATTTTTGGGTCGTCTCGCATCATGTTTCCTGGGAGTTTATGAATAATGTCTACTGACTTGGGTCGCGAAGGTTTGTGACTTTTAAAATATGGGTTCCCAGAAAAAAGGTTTGGGAAACACTGATCTAAAATGAAGATAACACAGCGTATTTACTGTATGCTGTGTGTAATATCGATGAACTGCTACAGAGAAAACAACATTTTCTTTCTGCATGGAATAAAAATATTTTGAACTCTGGAAATAAGATGCTGGGTTTAAGGTTACTTAAAAATAACTGCACGCTTCCGTGTGCTGTGATCTCTTGAACTTTAGTGCACACCGTCTGCACTTCAGGGCTGTTAGACTGTTACCTCTCTCTCCACGCATTGTAAACTGTCTGTGAGGCGTGAACCATTTTTTGTTTTTAACACTGTTCACGCTGGAGAAGAACTGCTCACATATGTACTGTACGTGAGCATACGTTTTAATTTCCCCTGCAGTGTCCAGCATGGTATTCAAATTGAGCGTCACTTTTGAGAGACAAAAAAAACCAAACTATTTTACTGCTATAACAGCACCGGAGCGTCACTTTTGAGAGACAAAAAAAAAAAAACAGGTTTTATTTTACTGCTATAACAGCACCGTAATATTCAAATTTAGAATTACAATAAATATTTGTTTACTTCCAAATTTAATTTTGCCAGTGCATGATAAATAAAGTTCAACTTTTAAATAAATTCAAATGAGCTATTCAAAGTTTTTTTTCCAAAGCCACAGGGAGCCTCAGCAGAAGGATGAAAGAGCAGTGGGTTGCCGACCCCTGGTATTTTTAAGCACTGTTGAAGCCTTTGTTGCCACATTTGATTCACAGAATTATACCATGTCACAAAAATGTAAAAACACACTAAAAGGAACTTTTTTTTTTTTTTAAATCAAATTGTCTCATACCACTGCCAGGGTGTCTTTCTGTTAGGGAGTAGCCCAGGTTGGCGATTTCCTGCTGGGCCTGAAGAGAAGTCTTCCAGCTGGGATCTGGCCTGTCCACAGCCAGCTCATGGAAACTGTTGGACTGGAGTATCTGTGTAGTGGCATAGGGGGTGGGCAGAGTGCCTTGCGCTGGGCTGCTGTAGCCGGTTTTCCCCATGAAGTCGATACTGCTGTAGATGGCCCCATCAGACAGCATGGTGCCTGTCTTTTCCACAGCGGCAGAGGGTAAAACGTCTGAGACAAAGAGAAGGGAAATAACAGCGATGATGAATATGGATCGCTGAGTGATAATCTGACTTAAGACTTTTTTAAGGTCATTAACACTCCCTGCTGTTCTGCCACGGAAAATTAGTGTGATAAGGCTTCAAACGGCCTTGATCTAAATGAAAGTGATTATTTACAGCCATAATTAGCAGGCAACACGCTGTTCAAGACTGGTGGCGAGATTGTAATAGGAACACTAACAGAGTTAACCTTTAGCTTTGCCGTCTTGCACACCAAACACATCAGGATTTCCTTAAAAACAAAATGGCAACACATTCACCTGGTCTCATTTATGCAAAACAGAGAGAATATTAGGCAAAGAAATACATGGAAACACTAACATTAATAATGTTAGCATTGACCTTGTCAAAACTAATTAGTTATGTAAAGCTGTCAAGGGTCGTTTTAATTTGGGCAAGCACATTCGTGTGTGTGTGTGTGTGTGTGTGTGTGTGTGTCATGTCAGATCCTGTCACTTTATTTCCCTTTGGGGACAAACATCAAAATTGCCCAACCAGGCATTTATGGAAGTGTGCTCCTGCAAAAGCTTGTGTTTCTCTTACCTCCTCTGCCAAAGCAGTTGCCAGCTTTAGGACTTCCTAAGTCCCTGGTAGCTCGGAGGCTTGTGGAGGGCCAGGAGTCAGCCAACCAGGGAAGACCTGGGTCACCCGCCTTTAGAAGCCCTGGGCGGCTGCAAAAGGATTTGCGTAGAAACAAAGGAAGTATTGATTATTTAACGTTGTGCAAACAAAATGGGATAAAGGTTCAAATGAAACTCGCATTCCTACGCTTTATTATTTTGTTGCTTTGATAAAACCCCATATTTTGTATTGCAAATCTCCTTCTTCTCCACAATTTGTTTTGAAAACACTGTCGGCACCAAAAGCGATAATGCAATAATTTCCTGCTACATCAATACAAATTTGACCTCAGCACTCCGCAACGGTACTCTAGCTGGTGTCACGGCAGCCGCACAGGCAACAATAAACAACACAGAGACATTAAATGGTGAGTTTATAAATCAGACTCCTTTCCAGCCTCTACTCCTGCGCCATAAACTCTCCCTGGAGAAACAAAAAAGGGCCCTAAATACACACTAAATCCACTTTGAGCCCCGGCACAAGAGAAATTTACATTTTAAATTGAGAATCACGGACCGCCTCTGGTAGATCAGCTACACTTGCCCACTGTTTCCATAGCAACGGGGACAGCGGAAACTCATTACCCCGTTTAGGAAAGCTACTGCATTGTTTTGTATTGGTGCAGCACAACAATCATGAAAACAGCTTGAACTTCAAGGTAGAAAAGTTGTGTCGTTTTGTATTGGTGCAGCACAACAATCAGGAAAACAGCTTGAACTTAAAGGTAGAAAAGTTTTTAGAAATTTTAGAAATTTTTTTTTTATGTATTGGTATTTTAAATTTACTGTTAGAAAAATGCCAGGAAAACTGCACCGAGCTGCTTGGTGGTTCCCAAAATGGGGGGCATGCACTGCCAGAAGGACAACTCACTTTTACACAAATGTACATACACTATTAAAAAAAGTGATTTTGGCAAGAAATCATTTTTAAATATAAAATTTAATTTTCAAATCAGGTACAATTTTGCTTTATATCTGTTTCCAGTTGAACCATCAGTTCATTTTTGTACAATTATATTTATGTCCAAATCTATATATGCAGCGTAAAAACCACATAATACCAGGACTCTTTAGCATTAGCTAATTAATTACGTGTGATGATTATTTAAATTCATTGTCTGGCCTGTAAAAAACCCAATAGTTTGCTCTTGAATGTCAATCAATTCAGTGTTACATTTCTAGTTTAACTTTAACTTAAAATTTTGATCATTACAAAAAGTTTTAGAAGAAATAAATAAAGGCCCATCTGACCTGAAGGAAAACCACAGGGTGAATCTTTTTTTTTATCCAGAGTGACAAATGATAACACTGCAGACACTTGGCTGCAGACTTACATGAATCACGATCACTTGCTGTGTTTGTACATTACTGACTCGTCTTATATTAATTAGCCTACTTTCTTTTAATCCTAATCTTGGTCATTGAGAGTTCCGTGAGGCAGAGCTCCTCCCCAACAGAGTTAACTTATTGTTTTCTTGTTTAAACTTCCTGCCAAGCAATGACCCCTTATTTTTTTTTATTTGTTTTCATCTTTCCTTATCTAATAAAGCTTAAGGTATTGTTGGAATTAATGGGAAAACTATAACCGGGGCAGATGTTTTCAAGGTCAGCAACCTGAACCTCAAGGTCTAGCACCATGCATGCGCCATCCAAGTGAGAGTGTATACAGAGCTCAGAAAGCAGCACATTCATCACCTTTTCACCCCTCCTCCCTCAAACTCTCAATCTGCTAGGCACCTAGAGTGAACAGACACTGAGCCAGAGAATAGAACAGCAGCCACCTGCCTTCATTGGCAGAAATGACTACGGTAGAGTGATTAATGGTTCTATCAAGTGCATATTAGCACCGATATGAGCGACCTGGGGGAGGAGCGCAAACTGAAACCTGTCTTGACAGGGACGCGTTTGTTAATATGGTGGAGAGTTGAAGAGCCTGTTGAAGTGGTTGTGAAATATCAGTGGGGTAGTCCTAGCTGGGGAGTTGAAGAGCCTGTTGAAGTGGCTGTGAAATATCAGTGGGGTAGTCCAAGATTTTGACTATTTATAAAAAGGCAAATAATCAAAGGCATACATATAGGTATAAATATATTAACTCAAAATTCTCACCTTGCATTTCGGATCAGGCCCCTGTCCCTCTGGAAAGTCACTGATAAAGGAGGGAGGCAACAGAGCAGCAGTTACACCTCAGTACTTTATGACTTATTCAAGAGCATATTGCACTGGATCAGCTGGAGTCATACAGTACCTGCTCGAGTGAAGGTAAAAGACTGAACTGCAAAAATAAAGAACAGGTTTTATTCTCAACATAATGGCTTGATATAACACGAAATTATGTAAAATTCTTTTAATTTAGGTATGCGATTGATGTAGAAAGGAAGCAATATGTGAAAAACAATTCAAAATAAAAGTTTGTGTGATGGGGATTTAAGTCTTCACTCGGTCTAAAAGATGGGATTAAGGAGGCATCGCTAAATTATGTTAATCCCCGATGAATTAGGAAATCACACAATCCCACGCAGAGAAGTCTCCAACACACATTATAATAATGACGGACAGCTGTTTGCGCGACGAGTACTGATTCAGAGAATATTTAATATCCAAATCTGGACACACCTCACAGAAACATGCAAATGTGGGGGGTGGGGTGGGGTTTAAAGACCCCTTTTTTGTCAGCATGTAAATTTATTGGGCTGTCCTGCAGGGGGCACTCAGTTGTGAAATAGACAGACATTGTTTCCTTCTTTCTTAGAAATATTTTCCATTTTCCCATTGTTTTTTTTTTTTCAGATTTGTCAAACCATTAATATTTTCCATTTTCCCATTGTTTTTTGTTTTTTTTCAGATTTGTCAAACCATCAAATTCACAAGGTTTCACAACAAAGAGGAATTCAGAGGTACTTTGAAGTTCTTTTTACCTGCATAGTTGCTAAGACCCTTTCTCTTCTTTCTTCTCCAGTACAGCCATGCACTGAAGCCCATAAGGACAATCCAACAAGCCCCGCCCAGACCCGCTATAAAAGCTGGTTGCTTCACCACATCGGAAATGCTGTTGTTGCCCTGCGACCCTGTCATTACATCCCTCAGTTCTGCACCTGTGGGAAACAAAGACATACGCACGGCCACACACGGAGAGCAGACGAATTAGGCTTTACATGTAAATAACCCACAAGTCATTTGTATTTTATTTTTGGTATAAGGCCTGATTATAGTTAAATGAAATGAAATGGCAATGACAGATTTGGATTGTTGGTATAAGGCCTGATTATAGTTAAATCAAATGAAATGGCAATGACAGATTTGAATTGTTTTACATACATATATATATATTTTAAGTTTTGTAATACTGAACACAAATTTATTGTTATTGTTATTGACCAAAATAGCTGTAAAATGCAAGTTAGATAGCTGCATTTAGGGATGTTTGTTGTCCATCACATTCTTGTACTGCACTGGTATTTACAGTACCAGTATATACCAAGTACTTGTAAAGGTTTGCAGCTGAATCTGCCAGCAAAAAAGGTAATTTTCATCATCCATGCTGTCCTAATATTACTGCTGTGTCACTTGACCTTTTCCTGATCCTTAATCAATGTCCCACACAGTGTGATTCCAAAGAGGTATCTGTGTGTACTTACTGCTAACTTTGGCAGCCATTTATTATTTTACTAGTGCACTAGCATATACTGTATATGGATAAGGAGCGCACGTACAAATAGTTTAAAGCAATATTTTAGGGCTATGTACTGTATGTACTGCTGTTTACGTATACAACAGTGGACTATTTGATGACACATTTCTAATACTTTGGTAAACCTTGAAATGCAACCAAACAAAAGGCTGTTCTTGACATCAAATATCAGACCCACAGTTGCCAGAAATAGCCAAATTTGAGACCGTGCATGAATACAAATAAACTACACACACACACACACAAGCAGGCAGGCAGGCAGGCAGTCACAGAAGAAAAAAAATGCATCAGTGCATCCAATAGAGCAGTAATCAATTCAGCAGTGCGCTTATCAAGTTGAGCTGCAAGACACAGGATTGACAGAGCAGCTCCAACAGAGTCTGATTTTCTGTTGCGGCTACTGTGCTGTGAAATTAGATTCACAGTCTCTAGCAGGAAACCCCCCCCCCATCATCAAGGCCCCCGTCCTCATGTCTGCGTCTGCCCTTCCTTTTCCATGTGTATTAAGTGCGTTTTGATGTATCAGTCAAAGTTATAGATGGACAGCGTTTGGCTCCTACACTGATTTTGAATCTATATAAATAGCAGCGGCTGCTAAAATATTGAAGGGTTTTATTGAAATGGCTAACAGTATTTGGCTCCGTGTTACCAGGACTGCTACTCTTAATGAACTGCTATTGATTTCTGGGCTCACGCCTGTCTTGTAAAGTCCCATCTTCTTTCTTCAAGTGCCATAAATTGATAAATCAGTTTTCCACATTCTGTCCTCACCCCCTGCCTCCCACCCTTGTCTGCGATGGGGACCAAGGGCAGCACATTTCGAGGTCCTTTCATTTGACTCCAGGTGTGACATGTGTATGTGCGCAATTGTGAGTGGATTACCCAAGATGATGAGCTGGGGTTTGCTCCTGACCCCCACCCCTGCGCTGGTGCCTGCAGCCACCTCCACATGGTACTGCACTCCGGTCTGCAGACCTCCAACCACCACTGAACGAATGGTTGCGTCCACAGACTTATTGACCTGGAATCGTGTTTCGTTGGCCGAACACCAGATCTGACAGAGATAAAGCCGTTTATTTGTTATTTTCCACGGAAGACGGTGCGGCAGCGCGCTCCTATTCCTGGGTTTGATAAACTGGTAAATTGCAGAGGTGAGTTCTACCGTGTACTGTTGGATGATGCCATTCTGCTCGTCTAAAGGAGGAGGGTCCCAGGACACACTGATGGAAGTGCTGTTATGGCTCCCTACAGTTGCCACCGTGACTTGTTGGGGCGGTGCATCGGGTGCTGTAAAGACAAAAACAACACACACAAAAGAAAATATTGGGAATTGTTTGTAATTTCATCCTCTAAGTTAATTTTAAAACAAAAAAAATCCTAGTAAACTGTAGTAGAGCTTCGAGGTAAGGTACATTTTAATAGACAAATTATAAAAACAGACAAGTGTACAGTTAATACAAACAGATTTTATTTTATTTCATCTCATTTAATTCGACCTAACGTTGACCGAAAGTCTGGTTTACTCCGAATTTTTTTTCACTCTCTTGACCTGTCATTTTCCACTTCCTGTTTGATGTTTAAAACTTTTAAAGACTCTTATCTTATAATACATGTGTCAAACCCAAGGCCCGCGGGCCAAATGCAGCCCACCAAGTCAATTTGTATGGTCCTTGGGAGCTTAAAGTCCATGCAGTATCATTTCATGACCTGATAATTAAAAAAAAAATTAATTACACAGCAATGAACAATATTTGTGTCTTGAATAAATAATAATCAATTGCAGAAACATTTACTAATACATTATAGAGTAGTTACAGCTATTCAGTCTTCCATTTACAACCGGGCCTTCAAGGGGAACTGTGCCCACCCCCCACCTGGTGAAAATGAGTTTGACTCCCCAGTTATATATGGTAGTCCTTTGGAAAAACTGAATGAAACAAGTTGAAACCTCTACAGTCAAATGTCTAATATCCACTTCCCAGCTAGAGGGGGAAAACAAGCGTTTGGCAAGTTTCCACCATTCTTCTTCCTTCCATTGGGTTTTTGGGTATTTTCATTCTCTATCCATCGACTCCCTGCCTTCAGCACAGGTTAAAATGCTCTCTAAAATACTGCAGTCCAAAGTGATTCCTGTGGCATCATCTCTCTCACCTCTCTTTCTCAATGACTTTAAGGTGTAGCCAAACATATATTTATTTCTAACTTTTTAACACGTGTTAAACCTGCTTTTAAAATACACACATTCCACTCTCTAAACATCACTTCACTCTATTATCACAAATTATCAGCACGACCAGGTTCTGTAGGTAGAAATAGGAATTGCAATACAGCTGTAAAATACACAGTCTATGGTAATGTCTTGTTAAACAGATTGTCCTGAGGCAGGTCAGATTGCAAATACAGTACATTCCTCTTCCACTCGAGGTACAATTTTTTATGCCGCTGCATCTGATCTACATATTTCCTGTCAAAGCAGAAGGGGTCGCATGCTGGTTAATATGAGCTGCAAATAAAATCAACAACCCTCCTGCTCTCCATAAGGAAATCTACCACATGTAGCCCCAATTCACAAAACTCATTTGTCTCAATGTATTTTACAGTTTGAAATAAGAAATACATTTTAAAACATACTCCTATTAACCTGTCTAACTTTCGTGTTTTCCTTTGGGTCTAGGTGACCCGGTGGCTGATAATATGCCTTTGGGTGTGTGGGTGTGCTTATACTAAGTTTAAATTAACAATACAAAGAAAAAGGAGGATAAAGGTCAGACACTGAGCAAGCGTTTTGGCAATGGCAAGGAGAACCCTTTTAACAGGAAGAAAAGCTTCAGCAGATCCAGAGAGAGAACCTACAGTTTTTTGAAAAAAAAAAAAAAAAACGGGCTGATTTAACACCTGCAGACTATTTACAGAGCTGTTTAAAAATGTAAAGCTATAGATTTCTTTGCAGCCTATCAGTGGAAATCAGCCATGCTGTAGGTAACTGTTGTGAAACAGGTGGGTCTCACAACAAACAGAAAGATAACGTTGGAAACTTCAAGTGCAAAGATTAAAGACCTGGTGGTAACCTTCTCCTCCAAGCAGAGGGAGGACGGCTGCAGCAACTGTCAGCATTATTCAGTGGTGGGCAATCGAGATGATGGAGGAGTACAAATACCCCAAAGCCTGCCTCCAACACACAGTACATTCTAAGGAGACATCAGCAGCAGGAGGATCTCCTAATGGTTATCACTGCTTCAATAAGTGTCCTCTATAACTCTATAACTCATCAGAGCTAAAGCGCACCTTTAGCCCTGATGGCCCACATCTGCAATACAGTCCCCCTTAAAGGACCGGTTGTAAATGGAAGACTGTATAGATGTAACTATTTCATAAGGTATTAATAAATGTGTCTGCAGTTGATTATTATTTATACAAGTTACAAATATTGTTCATTTGCTCCATGTAAGAAAAAAAAATATTAGGTTAAAATTTTTCAGGTTAAAAAAAACTCAGCAGCATGAACTTTATTATAAGGCAAACTCTTTTTAAGTGGGCCACGCAGAATGACTTGGTGGGCAGAATCTGGCCCGCAGGCCTTGAGTTTGACACGTGTGATGCAATCCTATAGACACTCTGTACGAAGTGTGAGTTTGAGTGGCTCCCCATAAGACAGCAACTCCATTGTCCAAGCTGCAGTAGACCTGAATTAAAGAATCCCAAGACGCACATTAACAGCATGTTCAAATGTTGGGTCTAGGGCAGGCGTGGGCAAACTTTTTGACTTGCGGGCCACAAATGTCCTAAAATTGAACAGGGGGGCCGGGTCAGGAGCAGAAATAAAGGCTAAAATGCTAAAATGCTTTTATAATTTTACACCATCTATTGGAGAAATGTGGGTATTGCAGCGGAAAAAAAAGGCTGAAGTATAATGATAATACAAATAAATTAGATCATTTGGAAATGTTTTGTGGCCCGCATAATAAAACTGAGTGGGCCACATCCGGCCCCCCGGGCCTTAGTTTGCCCATGCCTGGGCTAGGGAAACTTATGAAGGTTCGTTGAGTGCCAGAGATGGTGGTGACGTCACAGAGTCGACAGGCTCTTGTCAAAAAAAAAACTCATTGGAGTGTTTCAAGCATCATTCATCTTGATAATCTGTTTTTTCGCTCTACGCTGCATAAACCCCATCTATTCTGACCTCTTAGGAAACTAATACGCCAATGAGGTTTTCTCATATTTCTCAGCTCTGCATGTTTCCAGACACCATACCTAATATCAATCAATATTAATATTCGCCGAGGTTTAACTACAACATGTTCCCCCAGCCTGCATGGAACTACAATTGATTCAGTGAACCAGTATAAATGATTTCATGGTTTGAAATGTTTGTTTTTCAAAGCAAAGTGAGTCAATCTCACATCGACTTAAAACCTGGTACAAATATCTCGGTGGATATTAGATGGCTTACCTTCCTCCATGGTACGAGCGGTCATGGATTCACTGTCTGCGCCCTGGAACTCGTTGAAGAATGGCCGTACTTTAATTTCATAGACAATGCCCTTCCTCAGACCGGCGAGAGTTATGTCTCTGTCTGAGGAAACCTTCAGGTCCTGCGTCTGCCACTGCCCTGGTGAGGGCAGCCCTGACGTCTGCCGATAAAGGACACGGTAACCTTGGATGAACTGGGATGGATTATCCACCTGGAAGGGAGGAGACAGGGAGTGATAAGTTGTCAACGTAATTAAAAATATTCCAAACATTAATTGGTGAAGCTTTAATCAGATAAATCGGGATAATTTAGGACTGTGCAATTAATCAAATTGGTTTTTTAAAACCACACAAAAAAAAAATGCTGCTGACAAAAATAATATTTATTAAAACTATGTTGCAACACGAAGGATATGTGCACGAGCATGTATTCTGGTGGTGTTTTAAAAAGTCAGCATAAAGATGGCAGTGGGGAGGAGGTGCCAGAAGCAAAGGAGCAGCAGTGTAAAGTCAGCACAAAAACTAAAGTAGGTTCCCAGGTGTGGAAACACTTTGAATTTACAGAGAAAGACAATGTGGATCAGAAACATGTTCTGACAATTTCTTTGAACCAAATAAAACTTAAACGCTGAGTGACTAACAACCAACTAATACAGAGAAAGAAAAGGCAAAGTAGCTGAACATTGACGTTCACATCACAGTCACACGAACAAGACAAATTTGATAGAACAGCAGCAGTACCATCTGAAGTGTAAGTCTTTAAATCATCTTTAATTCAGTATAATCATTAAAGATTATTAAGTATTTTAGGAACATAACATTGGTTTATTTTTTATTTATTTTTAGCATTCTTGTCATGTTGTACCCTGAAGGAGACCTGACGTAGCTCTGTTGGTGGCTACAGAAAACCAGTTTCAACTGAATAACATAACATAACACCATGGCTATCCCCTTTGTTTTCATTCAAATAAGTACAAGTATATTAGACTTTTATTCTTATTTATTCATATTTAATGAAACAGATTTTTTTTAAAAATACCCTGAACATGAAGTGTTTGTGTATTTTTTTCATTTTCAAAATTCATCAAGCAGGCCAGACTGGGCCGGTTTTGGCCCACGGGCCGTATGTTTGGCACCCCTAGTCTAAGGTGAAGCTTAACCCTAGGAATATAGCATGCACTAACGAACTGCACTTTGTATAAATACATCGTTTCAGCCTTCTCTGTATATGGGGGTCCTTAGTTTACAATGTCCTTCCATAAACCTATTAAAGAAATCCTGTTCGATCTTCCGATGAAAGTTTAAAATTGAAAAGTTAAAACGAAGAGCAGAGTGGACAAAGCACACGTGGCGGCATATGTGGAAGACAGCTTTGTTAATTGTATCATATATTGGATTGTGCTAAAGTTTTTATGTCCTAAATTATGATGCTACCACTGTCTTAGCACATGTCCTAGATTATGATGCTACCACTGTCTTAGCGTAGGTGAGTGACATCGGTACACAAATCGGGTAACGTTGCACTGTCGGAACGGAGCTAGGTGAGTGACATCGGTACACAAATCGGAACGGAGCCAAGTCAAGAACCCCCTGTATTTATATATTTACTATCTATCTTTCTTTCAGCCCTTTTTTCCATTACTGGTTGGTCTGGTTGATTGTGCTGCACAATAACCACAAATCAATACATTTCAATTGAAAACCAAGTGCTAACGATGTAGCGTTGGGGGGGGGGCGGCGGGATGTATACGTGATGTGGTAACTGCTTCAGAGCTCATGAGAAGCATTTAACCTGTGTTCTGTCAGTGAAAGTGCACGTTCCATGAATTACATGGTTTAATTAAGCATCACCTCATTAAGGGACGGAAGGAAAAAAAAAGTTGTAGGGTGTGCGAAGCAACTAGACGTGGCCTATAATTATAGGCCTCAGAATAGGCTGAAATTCAACGGAGATGTACAACAAAGTGGTTGAACTTAAAGTAAAAATAAAAGTTTCAATATGATGTGAGAATTGGTGTTAATGCAAAAAGACTTTAAGCCGTAAAGAGGGATTCAAACTACTTTTTACAATTTACATACTTTACATACTAACAATTGCTGCTTACAATTTGCCAAAAAAAAAGAAAAAAGAAAACGCCTACTTTATTTGTATTCTAAATTCATTAATTTCATAATAAATAAAATCTGAAAAGAAAATCATTTCAAAAATCCAAGGTGAAACTAGAATAATGTAATATTCTACAGTCAACCTTTGCAGTTGGATACAATAAAGAACAGTGTTAACTGTCCTTAGCTTACGGTAACTAGCATTAAAATACTACATGCTATGACACTTTATTTTGACAGCGATATATCCACAGATTCTATCGGCCAGATTGATAAAATATAATGTAACTAGCATTAAAATACTACATGCTACATTATTTTGACAGCTATATATCCACAGATTCCATTGGCCAGATTGGTAAACTATAAACAAAATTCTGTAAACAATTGAGTTTACTGTGAAAAAAATATATAACCCTGAATTGATTATTGTGAAAGTAGACTTATGATCTGCTGTGAGTCACTGCTGGAAACAGGGTCTAAGACCCAGCTACTAAATAATGGTTGGGTTGACCTGAGATAATATGACACAGCATGTAGCCAAACTGCATAAATGATTAATAGGTACTTAATGGACATGCCACATTTTAACTGCAAAGACAAATGGATGGTATAGCACCTGTAAGACCTTCACTGAAAATGAGAACTTCCACAACGTTGACAGACTAAAGATTTGCCTAATGCTCGTTCTAATGGATATACTCACAGTCCAGGTGACCTTCACTGAAGTAGAGCTCAGAACCACTGGGTTGTGCATGCTGACAATCACGTCACCCAACTCCTTCTGCACACGGCGGTGATCCACGCCCTGTGATGTAGGACTGATGTCTGGGGAAGAAACCCAGGAGGGATGGTTATAAGAGCGAAAGACAAAACACAGCCCTCTGCATCATCAACGGTAACGATTTTTTTTCTTGTCTGTACCTTGTGTACGGACGGGCTCGGACATGGGGCTCGGATCTCCCACCCCCTGAGAATTTACTGCCCTGATGATGAAGAGGTAGACAGTATTGGGTCGTAGGTCCATCACTGTGTACTCGGTGGTTTTCACGTGGTCTGCTACAGTCTGCCAGCTGTTACTCACGGACTGACTACAAACAGAATAAATCGTATTAGTCGGGTGTAGGCCTGTACCTCTATTACTATAGAGGAAGCTTTTTTTTTTTTGTTATTTATTGAAGTCCGCAGTGCTGTGTGTATCTAACAAGCCCCACTGGGAGCTGGGAAATCATTTATGCTTAACCTGCACTTTCATTTTAAATTGACTGTTGGGCTATGACATACAACCCATTACATGCAATTGCATTTAACTGCCTTGCTGTTGCTCGAGTGCCCACAGCTCACAAAAACAACCCACATATGTTACTGCCTTAAATTCCAGGGTCGCCGAACATAACCTAAGGCCGAAGGTCAAAGACATACCCGAAGGCTTCTAGGACATAGAAAGACACAGGGGAGCCTGTCTCAGGCCCGGGTTCCCATGACAACGAGATACTGCTCTTGGTGACATCAGTGACCGCTGGCTTGGACGGTGGCCCTGGTAGGACTGATGTATTGTGGTACATAAAGTCAACGGGGTCAGTGGGATAGTCGGTGTCTGACAAAGAAAAAAAAAAAAAAGGTAAAACAATTAAATAAATACTTCCAAAACAAAAGCATAGTGTGACAATAATAACATCAATAATAATAATAATAACACTACAAGCTACACTTCTCAACATATTCCTGTACTGTCCTGTTGAAGCTGACCTTTGACATCTAAGAAGGCACTCCATGACGTTTCTCCACTGGAGCTGGTGGCCACACAGGTGTAGAGTCCCGAGTCAGACAACTAACGAGCGAAAGTAAAGAGATTACAATTAAAGCAAAATTTTATCTCGTATGTTTCACAAAACAGTTCACATTACATAATGTGTTGGAAAATTTCATTTTGTGAATTAAGGCTTAACTGATTACATGAACATGATATTTTTATGTTATTTATTACCTAAATAACTACTACATTTTTATTTTTATTTAATTTAATTTTAAAGCTATTCATTATACTATCCTTGAATTAGCACAAACATAACCAGACAAATGAAGCAAAAAGATAGATAATCTTAATTCACATGACAAGGTCTTTTTTGGAAAAATAGCTTTCAAAAGCCTCTTCGACTGCTAACTAATCAATGACAACATTTTTTTAGTACTTACATTTCTTACTTTTCGTATTTGTTCTTTTCTGTTTTATAAGCGACAAGGAGATGTTTTTTTCCTATGACATTGGCCATTAAAGATTTTTTTCTGCTTGAATAAACAATCCAAATAACCCAGACTTGTTTGTCAGGCACTCAGTTCAATGGCCTGGCCGAGGAATGTGTTTCACAGCTAGCAGACAGCAAAAAAGCATTAACCTCCACTGGCCTGCATTTGGCTTGAGAATTGGCTTGAGTGTAGATGGTCGGAAATTTTAACACCACCGAGTGAAAATGGCGGCTCAGTAAGAGCTAACATTAATTTTCCTAATTGATTTTGTCCAATAATAGTCGCCCTTCATCTCCTACGCCATCAACATTATCATCATCGGTGCTGACACAGGAAATAGGCGAGATGACTCTTCTATTTCACATTGGCAGTGTCCATGAGTGCAGCACTTCCTCTCTTTTACTTAGGGAGAGAGTGACGCGGAGAGAAAGCAAAGTACTTTGACACCATGACAGACACTGTATATTGAACATCCGCCATTATATGAGCCTCTGTAGACTGCCATCATTGCACTCCCTGTCCTTTAGTCCTTGAGTCTAGACTAAATATGACTATTTAACTACCTATAAAAACCTACTATCTATTCATCTTTGAAGAGAACCTGGCGGCACACGGCTGTTTGGTTTTTTAGATGCTGATGACATCTGTTCCTTCCCCTGCCATTAAATTACAGAGAAAGACAGTAGACTTTTTATTTGAATCAGCAGTACAGTTTGTACCTAAGTAAAATGCGGCCAATCATGATTTTATTGACAAGGCTATTAGAGTTTGCTAATCAAAGTAAAGCAGCAAAGACAACGTCCGGAATCACAACACAACAAAGGAACCTCTATTGAGAAAAACAGGAGAACTTGCAGTCCTGCAGGAAATTACACTTTTAATATAGTTTTTAGCCCTTTGTAAAGTAAATAAACAATTGGGCATCCTTCTGAGAGAAACTGTTGAAGTTCGGACAAAATGACTGCGACGTAAAAACCACGCTTTTCGCACGTTCTTCAAAATTAGATTCCTAATAGCAACATTTGCTCACACAAACAAAATTGATTGATCTGCGGTGTGACCATTACTGACAGTTGGAGATTAAATATATTGGCTGTCCTTAAAAGGAAAACTTTTATAACTATAGTACTTTTAAAATATTTAATACTTAAGTGCCATATACAGAGAAGGGTTTGTTGTGTGAGCACTTAGCTTCACTGCTAGCTAAATGCTTCCGTAGGCTTGGACCAAGAAGTAGCAGAAGAGCAAAGTACTTACAATCAAAAACCCTTTAATGCCCCTTTAAATGTAGTAATGACATCTTTAAACACCCTTTAATCAACAAAGAATATTGGTTCACAGCATATTAGCAAGCTAACTTCACAGCCTATTGGGTCGCCCCAAATAGGAACAAATACAACTGTGACTCTAGCTGTACTAACCTGTAAATATAATGATGTCGTAAATTGAATCAATCATTACTATCAATGCTAGACTTTAAACACAGAGAGAGTGTTTTTTTTTGGCCAACTTCTGGCTACATGATTAGCACTAGTTCATTTCCTAATAGTTATATAGTCACATTCACTCACCCTGGTATTCTGGATCTGAAGGCTCCCATGGTCGAGTAAGGAAAAGCGAGGGTCCTTTCCGAGCAAACTGGCTCCATTTTTTCGCCAAGAAACCGTCGGCTCCGGATCCCCATTGGCCTGACACTTGAGGAGGGTTACGCCTCCAAGAACCTGTGTTTGGTTGGATGGCCCCTGCCGGATTATAGGTGGTGGACGGTCCTTCAGATCTGTGGGTGGTAATCAAAGAGCAGGTGTGAAAATAAATTCGAAGCAGTGTGATTTTGAAGTTACAGAAGAAAAAAAAAAATCATGAGCACTTTTTACATGTGACTCCTGACATTGCTTCAGTGATTGTGAGACTCTGTCTGATTGTTGTTGTTTTTTTTTAAATCTGGTAGGCCGTTTTTCTTTTTTTTTCTTCTTAGCTGGACAACACGCTTGCAGCAGTGCATCACACCTTTGAGGTTTAATCATTAGATAAGAATTAACGAGGCTTCAGCCACAGTGCTAATTACCAAACTTTTTTTAAAATAATGTCTCCCCCTTAATTCACGAGTGCCCTCTTTAATTCTGACTCATGGATGTACTTCCTTCCTCTTGGATTCACCTCAGCACACAATATTACACCCTAGCTCAGCGTGCCAAACAAACAATGCTTTTTAAGCTTTAAATGGAGGTCTATTATCCAGAGAACTTCCGTTCAATCTGTTGGTGCATTTGTACATTGTAACGTCCCTTTTTGTAAAGAATAGCTCAATGTCCTGGGCTGTTCTTGTTGCCTTGATAACTGTCTTTGTAAATAATTCCGACTGGTTCAAGTTTAACCAAATCTATCAACTTCCCGTGGGAATGAAACGTCGGTTCTGAACTTTTGTACCTTGTCCTGTGGTAATTGCAAGGGACTCAAAGAGTGACCCAGTTTCACATTCACAGAACAAACACCTTTTAGCGAAAAATAAAACGGCACAGTACAATGCCTTTGAGCAGCCGTCACACGTGGGATTCAGCTTAAGTGCATTTGGTGCAGATCCTGTGGACATGCTGGACTCCGAGTAGTTCCGAGACCAAGGACCATTTACACCCGCATTCACACCTAGGATCAATTTCGAGTGTCCAGAACATCTATTTCCTGCACTTGTACAGTTGTAAGACTATGGAAGGAAACCAGTTGACCACACGGAAGAACATGAAAACTCCGTCCAGAAAGACTGAGGTTTAAACCAGCAACCTTTTAGAAAAGAACACTCACCACTCTGCTACTGTTTGTCTGGCTATTAAAACGGAGAGATGACCAGAAAACTTTTTGGTTTTGGTTTGAATAAAGGATTAAGAACAACAACCATTCCAACACAATGAAACACATGACGATCACAGGATTCCAACACAATGAAACACATGACGATTGAGCGAACCTGAATATAAGCCACACCCACTAAATTTAAAAAGAAAAGAAATGATTGTATATATGTTTTTTTCTGAACCATGCCTATCACTTGGCTGGTCACACGTTAGCGTTTTCCTGCTTTGGCGAAAAATATACAAATATCTCTGCAACAAACACTTCAGGCATAACTGACATTAAGTTGCTGCCTGATAAGAAAGGCAGGAGGATTAAGAGGAAAAAAAGCGAACCGGAGACGACGTGAACTATCAGTAATGGTCAAGAGATACAGTAAACAAACAGAGTGAACGGTGCACGAGTCTAACGATATGGTTAAGAGGAAAAAAAGCGAACCGGAGACGACGTGAACTATCAGTAATGGTCATGAGATACAGTAAACAAACATGGTCAGTGCACGAGTCTAATGATATGAAGCAATTACATTCAATACTTAAAAAAAAACCAGCAAAAACCGGCGTTGACGATGGAGAGACCTGTGCTGTCGATGTTCGAGAACCAACAACAGAGGCCACATTTTTTAAATTGTATTAATTTCCATTGTCTACGCTCAACATAACTGATAGTAATAAGATATACCATACTAATATTAATGTCAATGTTCCTAGGATAACATAAGGATTACTGACGGGCATCTACGAATACATTTCTATACCCGTAGGAGGGAGTGAGACGTTTCTCCATTAGCAAATTAGCACTTGATGCTAATGCCGAAGTTTGGCTTTAAAAAAAAAAAAACAGATAGCATTACATCTAGATTAAGGATAAAACATATTTTACTGTCTAATTTTCTCTTCCATTTACGTCTTGCACATTTTATTCAGCGTGTAGCAAATTAGCACTTGATGCTAATGCCAAAGTTTGGCTTTAAATTTAAATTTTCTCTTCCAGTTACGTCTTGCACATTTTATTCAGCGTAGTAATGACATCAGGATTGGTTTGACTGACTAGATTGTGCTTTTATGTGACAAGAAATACATTTGACAAGGCATTCGTGTGTGGTGTGATTTATCAGTTTTAAGATGAAATAATATTAAAAGAAAGAAAGAAAACAGTGCCTCCATAATGTAGACAGGTGATAAATAAAAGGCAGACAATACAACAAGAACATGCTATGAATACACACAGAACAGGTCCATAAATATGTGAAGCAGCAAATGACAATACCCAATACGTAACACTCATGTGATGCACAAAAATATTCGATTGTGCATAAATTTACAAGCCTAATGCGTGGATTGTTGTGCTTATATATATACTATGTATACGACAGAATAAAAACATGATCCATAATGTGGTTTATACATAACAATTAATTTAAAAAAATCAAAACCTTAATTTGAGCTCTCTAATGTAAAGAAATGACCAACAAATACAGTGAAACAATCATGACTCTCACCTTTGGGTGGATGTGAGGTTGATCGCAAATACTGTATTTCTATGTCCTATCACTGTACCAAACATGTTGTATTGTCATATTACTCTCTGGAAAAAAATAAATGTGTGAGCAGTACACGTGTGTGTGTGTGTGTGTGTCCAGTCTTACCGTCTGATACCTCAAGCTGAGCCTTTGCCATTATGCTGCCTGCCACGGTGAGGGCCTGGCAGATGTAATATCCCGCATCGGAGCGTTGCACAGACGAAATGGTCAACTCTCCATCCAGAGACACGGAGAGTCGGCTGTCGTCCTGTACTGGCTGGTTGGGAAACAGAAGATCCTGCGGAAAGTGAAGGTGAAGAACGCTCAAAACCAAAGTCCTCGTCCGATTGTCATCCGTTTTAATTTACTAATTTACTTAGATACCAATCATTTTTCTACTCTATTAGCAATTGTTTAATGTTTAAAATAAGGTTAGGGCGCAATATATAGGGGCATGTTCTTACTGTACAACTGTATGGCAGTATTCACTCAGAAAAGTGGGTCAGCCTCTTTCTACTGGGACTGAATGGTATTTTACCCCCTAAGATAATCCTGCTGTGACAACCTGCAGTCATGGCCATGAAATAGAAACATTAGTGTTGGCTCTTTCTGCACCCGGAGCAGACAAACTGATGGGCAGCAGAGGACATTCCCCCTGCTTCATTATGTCTAATCACTCTAATGCAGTGCAGGACATTGTTTTTGACTAAGTGAGTTTGTTGGTGAGACTGCCAAAAACGATGACGATAAAAGACACTTTATCTGCAGTTCCTTCTCTTGATTTGACCACTTAATGAGAGCCGTGGTGTTTTTTATTTGATTTACCAGTGGTGTTTATTTGTTTTTTTTTTAGATTTTGTATCTGTACAAGAAAAAGAAGTGAATTAATACAATGTACACACAAACATGGCAAATGTAAACACATCCTGAATCAGCATCCTCACCTGGCTTCCCTCCCGCTGCCAAAAGACAGTAGGCTGAGGTTTGCCCCTGGTTTCACAAGGAAAGGTAGCTGTCCGTCCTTGAGCCACAATCTGGTCCCGGGGTCGGACGACGAATTGAGGTGCCTCTGAGATAAACAAGATAAACATAAAAACAATAGGAGAGTATATTAGCCCAAAGGTTTGCCTAAGCTTCAGGTTCATGCTTTATTTATTATTGACAAATGTATAATGTATCTGTCTGCATTATCTGGTATCCAACTGAATCACCTAACGTGAGGTAAATCCTGGAAAATCTAAGTCAAAGTATAGACTGAGATAAGACCCCAAACAATTCATTTTGACCTAAAATTATTTTAAAATATTGTTACTGTTAAATACTGTTATTTTAGACTCAACCGAACAATGAAACGACCCCTGTATTTCTAACTAATCAATATAAATAAATTCAATTAATTATCACAGAGTTTTTGCTCAAATATCATAGTGTACGTAGGATTTTGCAAAATGCAATCTGTGAAGTGTAAAACTCTAATCTCCAACCTCCAGCAGTACTAGTAACACCGAGAACAAAATCCCTTCAATAGTCATAAACAACAACAACAACAACAACAAAAAAAAGACAAATTTTGTTCAATCAATCAAAACCGTAGCTTGAAATCATCCGCTAATCCTCTCTGGCAAACGCCTCTCTGTCATTCAAATGATTTAGCAAATCAGTCTGAAATAGTGCCTCCAGTACCATATGTTTTTTTTCCCCCCCAAAATCCTGCAGTTTTGCGACAGTACATGCAAGTGATGAGCATGCACACACAAATGGGTGATCGCGTGAAAGACAGGTGGAAGCAGCACGTGCACAAAGCTTCAGCTCTTACTTACCAATAGGCTGGACTGATGGGACAATGAAAGAGTGGAAGTGAAAGTGAAAGATGACAAAGCCATGAGTTAGACAGGAGCACAGAGAGGAGATAGAAAATTGAATGACTAAGTTAAGGCGGGATACAATGAAGATCATGTCACTGTGCTGACGGCATGAAAGGGAAAACGCAATGTCGCCTCGATAAATGAAACTGAGCAGTGATTATCAACTGGCGGCCCGTGGGCTGAATCTGGCCCGTTGAACCGTCTAATTCAGCCCGCAACTGGATTCCAAAATAAAATGTCAAATAATAATGTTGATAGTGAGTGCCCAGCCCAGAGGGTGTTTTCTAGAAATATTCTGGCCCTCCGACAAATATAGTTGGTGACATCTGTGATAGAGCGACATCATTTACAAAAGTAAATGCACAGAATTATTTATGTGTAGTTATGTGAGGGTAACAGTGATGACAATTCTGAAATATGATTCGATTTTGTCTCTGTCTCTGCATCCAAGTCTAGATTGTTTATTTTTTGGCCTTGACGCGACGCCAACATTTGAATTAACAAATTGGCTGCTGATGAAGATTTATGAAGATACAGTATGTACTGTATACTGTCTGTGTCCATGAGTGCCAATTAAAACATTTTTAAAAATCATTAGATTAGTTTAATATATATTAAATTATGTTATATACAATTTCAACAAAAATATTTTTTTTCATTATGTTATATACAATTTCAACAAAAAAAATTTTTTTACTCCTGTGAGTAATAGCAAAGATTTTATGACAACATGACACATCTGAGTGCGACGACAGCAATGCTTCGAAAATAGGGCTTCACTTTCACTTTCCACACCATACATTCATTATAAGCACAGATGCACCAATGACTGGCTGTTCAGCACACACTCTTTGTCAGTTTTGTGGCCAATCATTTTGCATTTCAGTATTGAGCGGGAGTTCAGGAGCACAAGCGGTAGCTAACCGGACTAGCATGCCTTTTCTCGTCTGCTTTTGTTTAGCTTAGCATGTGGTTATCTCTCATTAACCAGCGCAAGCATAAGCAAACGGTTCAACTTCAAATGCTACGAAGGCAGCGTTGAAATCTGAACTTGAACCCTCGCGCTTAACAATAACACGTGGAAGAATCAATAATTAAGCAAGAGTAAATGGAAACATTTTTTTATTGCTCGTCTGGTTTATAAACAACATTGGCCGGGACGTAGCTTCCTCCAATTGATCTGGTGTAAATATGAAGTGAGTGGGCCTGATGGAGGATAGGACACCCCCCCCCCAACCCCCCATGAGAGGTTCACTTAAAACGCGGTGGTATTGTTCCTATCTGGAGCCTAGCTGGAGATTTGAAGCAATCAACAAGCCCAATACTAGGAAATGCTGAGGTGAGGTCTAGCCTTTCAACAGGGGGCAAATAACGCCGGCAAAGTGGGCAATAAAGGTCTTATTGTGCTGCGGTATCCTTTGAGAGACACAAACACTGAAGATGGGTTATGAGTCTCGCACAGTCCATGTGGAAGTTACCCACCTCTAATTGTCAGGTAGGCAGAGGCTTCCACTTTACCCACAGGGTTTTCAGCAATGCACGTAAAGGTTCCCTGGTCACCGACTGTTGCCTTCTTAATCTTGAGTAGGAAGTCATCTTTTTCATATCGGATGTCATACCTAGAAAAAAAAAAAAAAAGATAATATGAAGATACACATAGATGTATATATGAGTGTATAGTTCATTCATTCTAATGAACAAAAAACAAAATAAGAAGAAAGCACCCAAGAGGAACACAAAAAGAAATCAATTTTAAGAACAGAAAAAAAAACAGGCTATTATAATCAGATAGGCAGAAAAATAGACTTAAAAAAAAAATAAGTGGAACACAGACATGGAAGCAGCAAAACTTCAGTGCAGTTGATTTGAAAAGGAAATGAGAATAATTACACACAGATGAAGGTGTGCCAAAATGAAAGTTGCCTTCAGCTGGAAACCTGACTGTCTGATTATTCCAGCATTTAAAAAGACACAGCCACCGCTGCACAGTGTTCTGTGGTAAATAAACTAGATAAATGAAACACAGTCAACACAAGAAACAGTCTGAGCGCGAGGGCCTGATTAATAGGCCGAAGAGTGGAAAAAAAAATGGCTGCAAATTCATAGTGTTATTTAAACCAGAAGGATCATTGGCCAAACTGTAATGTAATAGCGGTGCAGTCAGCGTGAGAGAAGCATCTCTGAATCTTCCAGAGTTTAGATAAGCACTTCAGAGAGATGGTAGTCACAGAATGAGAATACTGGAGCCAGGAGTTATGCACTTCCTCTCTGGAGTCCCCTTTGGGGTACGAGGAATCCTCTGAAATTGTCCAGCCAGCCTTACTGATTCGGAGATGAAGGCAAGTCAGGCAGAGAAACGGCATGAGAGGTGAGAGGAGGAGAGTAGTCACATATGAAACAGATGTTGGAAAAAGAAAAAGAAAAGGAGTGTGGGCAGAATATCGATGGACGTGCTTGCGTCTGTCTCATGTCTGCTGAGGACTCAAGTCACAGCACATCTCTGACCCAGATACAGACATCCCAGGAGGCTGATGGGGCTTTACAAAAGGAATTAAAGGAAGGGAAAAAGGGGAAGTGAGGCACGACAGGTCCTAAAGTAGGACATGTTTCTGGAGTCAAGGGGCAAAAAAGCAGAGAGCACGACAGAAAAGCGAGGGAAGACAGCCAGTCAGAGATTTCTGATATATTTAGGAGGAGGAGGTTTAGGAATTAATTCGCTTTTCGAACCAGGTCCTTTTTTATGTTTTTTTTTATCTATCTATCTATCTATCTATCTATCTATCTATCTATCTATCTATCTATCTATCTATCTATCTATCTATCTATCTATCTATCCATCCATCCATCCATCCATCCATCCATCTATCTATCTATCTATCCATCTTTTCCATCTGTTCTTATTTGTCCAGATAACAAATCCAAATAATGGAAATACATATATTTCAAAATGTCTGGAAAACATGCTATAGTATAAAATCTCAAACCATAACTTTAACTCTGTACATTTTCTTTTTTTTTTCTCTCAAACCATAACTTTAACTCTGTACAATTGTTTTCTCATACAGTTGAATTTCAGTCACCACTGCGCCGCTTGACATTGATTTTGTAGATCACGTCAAGAACTTCTTTCAAAACTTTTGTCCTCAGTCCTTGTCCTCAACAGTAATAATGGGTCAACAATCAACGTGACGACTGTGTCAGTCAACCTGTCAGCCAATGACTGACGTCCCGCCCTGCGTCAGTGAGGCTACTCGAACGCAAGCCTGGGGTCTGACCTGATGTTGTTTGACGTTGTTTCCAGAAACACATGTTGTTTGGTGAGAAAAAGGAGATTAGCAAGTAGCCACACAAATCGGATTATTGTTCAAGATGAATTCGTCACTTTAAGCCACCTGGCCATACATAGTAAAGCTACGTGTCTTCACCTTCAGGGATATAAGTTACCATTCATATTTTAAATACTACATCAATTGTTTGGCTAGCTTAAAAATATATGCTTACAAAATGTCATTTGCGTGCTTTACCAGTGACCGAAACATAATGTGAGGATGTTTTTTTTTCCCCACCAAATTATATTTAATCAAAATTGAGTGACAGCTGCTGACAGTTAGGGATCAACAAACTGTAACTCCATACCAGTTCTTGTACTTCAATTCTCATTTTCTTTGTTTCCTATCCATGGCTAATCCTTTAAAACTCTGTTTCTGGGGAGATGCTAACCAAAACAATATTTATGAATACGTTTTATACTTTTCTCCACTACATAATCGTTTTGCAGGAACGCTGCTGCTGAAACATGTCATCATCATTGTTGTGGGAATAAAAATGGCAAAATATGGAACCCCTAGTTGTATGGAATGAGAAAATGACTGAAGTTTACACTTTTGCTCCCAATATAACCCCATAAACTGTTTTTTTTTTCTTTCAAATTTAAATTATTTTTGGAATCCTGTGTCACTGGTCTGCTCGAAATGTAACTTTGGATATAAATGTGAATGAAATGGAATTTTAATGAGCACTCGTAAAACCTAACCCTACACAACCACATGGTAATTACTGCAATAACAGGAAGGTGAGACAGTAAATTGCCCTTAAGTGTTTACTGCAGTGTTTGTTTGTTTGTTTGTTTGTTTGCATATAGCTTCTTGGCCATTACAATCCTTTTCTTCTAATACCAGCTGTGACTCACTCCCACGTCCAAGTTATTACACATATGGTCATGTACTAAGTACAATTAATTTATTATTTTAATATTAATTGATGTATTTTTGCTGCCACTTGGAACTAAACCCCTAGTTGTATGGAATTAATTCAATTAAACCTGTTTTTGTTGCTCTTTATAGTATTTCATGCACACACACAAAAAAAAAAACAACAGAGAAAAATTAGGGAAAAAAAAAATCCTATTATGCCAAAAACTCAAAGCTTCAGTCCAAAATCTTTTGCCAAGTGCAGTTGGCAAGTCTACTAAGGGGAGTTGGAAAAATGGCTCCTCAAAAAATTGAAAAATCTGTTTAAGACCAACAAGAAGAGCAGGTGCAATTGACTTCCCCCCTGACAATTTAACAGCAACAAAATCTGCCGGAAATTTGTGAGCACCAACAAAGCGCTGACCTCGTAAAAACTGCAGAAAATAACACTGCAGGAAAGCTGTTACTTTTTGGCACAAGCCTTGTCACATTAGCCGAGAACCACTGCTGCTGTCCGTGCTTCATCATGAGATGTTTCCAAAAGGAGATTATATGACAGCTTCAAGTAAGTCCTTTATTCACTCTGAATTTTACAGAGTAGTCTTTAAAGTAATAATTTGTCCCTCTAAACCTAGTCTTTTATCACGGAACAGTAAATAATTGCAACATGCAAAAGTCTGCAGGTCTCCTTAGATACAGTCGAGGTAATGTCGGGTTATGTGCTTCCTGAATGTTTTATGCCGTAAGAGGCTAACAAAGCCTCATCAGTCATAATGTAACGTTTCACAGAACTATAAATCATTTATAAGTTACACACCACCAAAGAATTGCTCCTGGTTTAATATTCCGACCGTGGTCCGTCTGTAAGTGACCTTTGTCTCGCATTGTTATGCACACAGTGTTAAAGCACAAACGCAAACGTAGGACACTGGATTCATAGACATAAACATTCCTTACCTGCTGCGGGGGATATCAACGTCTTCCTTTCTCCAGCGCAGTGTGGGTGTAGGGTCACCGCTGACCTGACACCTGAACTCTACACTTTCGTCCACCAGGATCACCTGGTTCACAGGCCTCTGGACAAACACTGGTCTCTCTGGATGGTCAGAAGCAGACAAGACGCAGTAAATCATTTAACTGAAGAAGTGCATATTTATATATGGCTATTATATTATATGATATTTAAATGGCTATTTAAGCCAGGCTGTTATTGCTTACCATAAACTGACAGTTGGGCTTTTTCACTTTCCCTCTCTCCAACCATGTTGCTTGCGACACAGACATAAATTCCCACATCGGTCTTTTTAGTGTTTGAAATGGTCAGCTTTCCCGCACGTATCTAACAAAAAAGAGGAATTACTGTTATTCCATCCCTATATTCACTAAGACTATGAGTCACTTTACTGCAGTGACGTGCGGTGAGGTTCATGGCTGGTGAGGCATTGACTTCTCTGGGTTCAGATTTACGAAAAAGTACATCTTATTTTACTATTCATCCAACATCATCACCTGGTAATGCTTCATATATCATCACCATTCCTCTTTCAAACAACACAAACATATACAGGAACATATTTGTCCTACAAAGAACGCTTCTTTTATACAAATAGACAGAGCACTCTTCTGGTGTCTAAGAAATTCAAATTAACTGTAAACAAATTAAAGAATAGAGATGAGTGCAGCACAAATTTAATTTTGACCTTCAGACGCCCCCTAGAGGTGAGGCAGAGTACTGCCTGCCTCCCCTGCTGACTTTCGCTGACAATCAGCAGCAACAATTCTCTAACACAGACATTAAAGACATTACACAGACTGTAGAGAGTCGTGCTGTAGAACAAATATTTCTGTAAAGTTCATATTGGCGACATGCTGAGGAACAGAAACGGGCACGCGTTTTTATTGGATTCCGCAGTCAGAAGTGAGGCACAGCTCTCCACCGCCTCACCTGGGATTTCTGCCCTGTATTTGATCGCAAAATACTCAAATTCAGCAATTCTTCCATATGAAACTGTGAAAAAATGTGTAGAGTCATATCAGTGGAAAATATTAATATTTATATTATGTACTTTTTTTATCATGATGGAAGGAGAGGCGCTGCCTCCCCTGACCGCACGTCACTGCATTACTGGCACAGTAGTGACCACAAGAAGCACACCAACCGTGATCCTGTCATCTTTGAGGTCAAGACGACTCTTGTCTTTTCTCCAGAAAGTGGTGGGCTCTGGATGGCCGCGTGGAGGCTGACACTCAAAACTGGCAGTGTCTCCGACCGATACAACGGCGTCCTGTGGGTTCAGTCTGAAGTCGTCACGTAGCACTAAAGCGACAAAAAAACAGGAAACAGTTACTGTGGCTGGTACCAACTCCTTGTTCGGTAAATTAGAGTGAATTTGAAATTCCTCGTCAGATTAGAAACACCATTCACCAATTAAGTCTGGAAAAAAACTCCATATAAAGTTCCATTTTTTGTATATGTTTTTTATCTTTTCCTTTTTAATTTTAATGAAAAAAAGTGACACTGTGAAAGGACTGTCGCCCGAACCTTCACACCTGTTAATCATTATTGCTCTCTGGCTTCGACTAATTCACATCAATCGCTCAATTAAAAGGGATGGTAATGAGACAGACAGCAATTTGAGAGCACTTCCTGCAAACGCTTGTGATTGGCCTTATTCCAGAGGATTCTTTAACACATGCCAAATATAAATCAGTGCTTCCACTCACATTTAGTGGAATGATCATCCAAATACAAGACAGTTGTGAACCTCCTGTCAGTATGAACCAAAACCAGATAAAAGGCAATGGCATTCAGTTATTCATTAGTATACTCACTACAATATTCACACAAAAAAATACAAAAATTGAGTAGTTGCTAACATAAACATAAATATTAAGGGGCTAGAAAAGCGAATGAAAAAATTTTAAAATAGTGTCACTCTTTAAGGTCCAGATCACCTTTAACCTTCAGTCTTGGTAAATCACACAATAAAATGTTAAAGTGTGTTGTGTGTTTGACTCACAGGAAGCACATAAATGTTTACATTTGGACGTCTGGCTGATAAATCGATGGACTAATAAAGGCTCCTTTTCACCACTGAGTTCATTCAGCCCTGATTACACCAAGATGAGGACGTCATTTTTTAATGCGAGGAGACAAGAAACCAGGTGAGTCATCAGACAAACTACTTAGACCAAACCAAAACCTTAGTTTTATTGTCATCAAAAATGAAGATATAAGGGGGCCATGCATTCATTAATATTACTCAGACAACCTAACAGTGGCTGCAAAGAATGTGCCATCCTTCTCCTCATCCACAATCATCCACAAAACAGTGGAAAAAGATACCGATAAGAATACATCCCTGAGGGAGTTAGTACAGGGAAAATATAAAAGGATCCAAAAAACGAGTCCCTTGTGGCACAATGCAGAAATGAGGCATTTTGTAGACAATCAAATCACCTCACTGACAGAGAAGCTTCTGTCATTAAGCTAGAAACCAGAAATGACCAGTACTGTATTATATTCCTGTTTAAAGAGTCAATTAGTTGGGTTTTGTTCTTGTCTAGAAGCTTTGAAAAGAAGGGTAGTTTTAAAAATCGGATCGAGTTGCTCAAAATCATAAGAGCACTGGACAGATATGAAGGGAAGATAACAATAAGTTGAGTTTATAACGCCTAAAATATCAGAGGATTGTGGGAGTTAGCATTCATTATAAGAGAAAAGTAATTATTTTTTATTGTGTTTTACTTATTAATTTTTTAATAACTCTAACTTTTATGACTCAATTTGATCTTTCATCTGCAGGTTTTTCCTTTTTCCATTTGTGCTATGCTCTCATGCACCCAATTCTAAGCTGCCTAGTTTTTAGCATTTTGTACATGTTTCATGAAAAGAAGAGCTGCTTGTATTTATATTAACATTGCTGTAAATGTTACAAATGCAAGTAGTAATGAGATGGTTTTTGCACTTCATAGGTAACTGTGACCCCTTGGCTGCAAGAGTTGCAAACATAAGATATTGGATTTGAACAGACTGCAATGACTTTTGCCTCAGTCAAATAAATTATAAAAAATGTCATTCAAAATAATGACAGGAAATGTGAAAGAGAACTGACCTTTGCATCTAACCCATTTAGTAAACATTAATAAAAGATCCTCTACCTCAGACTTCATTTTAAGAAAACCATAACCTCTAAGTCAGTGGTTCTCAATTATTTTCTGTCATGCCCACCCCGACCCACATCCCCGCGAATTGAAATACTATTGAGAACCTGATCAAATGTATATTTTTATCTGTACAAACCACTGTATGAGTTGCTGCCACCTAGTGACTGGAGGCTTGTTAACATTTAAGCATTATAGCAGTGGTACACTTTTGCCCAGCGTGCTGTATTCCATTGGAAGCCCCTCACACCACCCCCTGGCACCTCACTCCGCCCCACTATTTGAGAAGTACTGCTCTAGGCTAGGCTCTGGTAGGCCATATGAAATGATTAGGTGGGCCACATTTGGCCTGCGGGCCTTGAGTTTGACAAGTGGTGAAAAGAGGCTGCACCAATAATCACATCAACATCCTGTGAGTCCAACTTGCGCTGGCCTCCAATAATCACATCAACATCCTGTGAGTCTAACTAGTTGTGAATGTTAATGGCAGTTAGGTCTTTAGAGGACTGTACACTGTACTGTACCAAACCCTGACCCAAAAAACAAAGTACGTGAAACATAATACCCCTGTTGGTGGGGATTGTAATGACATCCTTTGGGCTTTAGAAGTTGGGTGAGGTTCAGCCCCCCCCCCAATCCCAGTCAGGGGGACTCATGTCTACTGCTGCTTATACTGTATGGACCAGGATGTGGGCCGCGGGCTACACTTTCAGCACCCAGCAGAGGTTGTTTTGAATCCAGGGTTCCTATTTTGGGGGAAGGGGCGAACTTTAATTATTGTTACCCATTGTAGGCAGACTGAGGAGAGTTACCTTGGCGCAAACATTTTGGGGGGGTGTGTGTTGGCATAAACCCAAAAATAGAGAGAATCTATGGCTCTGTGATGTCCTGAGCAGCCGATTGGGGAATATTCTTGTCTTTGGAAAGACCTTTGGTATTTTTCCACCTCTCGTGGTCTCTGTGGTGCTCTTTACCCCCGTCTCACCTTTTCCAGAAGGTAAATCCGGCAGTGTCATAACCTCTCACTGTACAAGCAGATCCCAGTAACTACCACCAACTGTCCACATTACGCTGACACACATGTACACAAAAAAAGGCATTTAAATCGATGAAAACACAATTTTAAAAACATATGAAAATATAGGGAAAAAAACCACCACCGCTTAAATATACTCTGTTTTCCAGCTAAGCTTGAACATCTCTTCTCCAACCCTGACCTTAAAATTTATGCTAATGGGTCCCTGGGAACAGTGAAGGATTTAGCATTGGAGGACAAAAGAATGAATGATGTCTATTACCAATTTTTTTTTCCTCTTTATTTCTTTTCTGACCTGTTATAACCCCCTCTTCCCATCCTCCACTCCCCTCTTATTTTTCTCCAAGCTTAGCTGATAAAATGAAAGAAAACATGAAAGAGAAAATAATAAACTACTAAATTGTTGCAGACTGTGCAATAAAAGAGTTTATCACATGACCATCTGGCAATTTGTCCGACACAAAAAATGCCCAAATTGCCTGACAGGGCGGAGAAAAACAATGAAATAGGCCCCGTGGCCCAGCTGTCAATCACATCAGGGCTGTGCGCGAGCAAATGAGTGTTCGTTGCAGGGACTATACTCTGACAGAAATATTCCTGGCTGGCTGTCACCTGCTATATAAGCTCGGTGACCCTTCCAAATGAAGGCAACACTCCAGTCGTCCTGTCAAGACCACCTACCTTTGCCTGTTCCTGTTTTGTCACACTAATGACACTTCCATCAAAACAAAGCTTGTCTCGGTGGACAGTGAAACCTGACACACGCCGAGAGTAATCGGAAACATTGTGTGATACATGGAATTGTGCAAAAATATATTGAAAAGGAATGCAAAAGGCAAAGAAAGATCCTGTTTAATGGCGTGGACAGTCAACATCCAACAGAACAATGGACTACATGCTGACAATGACACTGACATCATTACGCCCATAAAAGGGAAAAACAGTGATATGTTGAATTTTAACTACAGACATATTTTTTTGAAATTTTTCAATTTACTCACCAAATTTTATAAGACGTGTTTTTTTTTTCTTTCTAGAATTAAAGTCATGATTTATAAACATGGGAGTGAATAACGAATTAAAGTCATGATTTATAAACATGGAAGTGAATGACTTATATTATATATTTTCGGTAACAGGCTCCACAATGTGTTTTCACACATATATGACTGGTACTGATGTAATTTATTCAGCCCCAACAGTAATATATTACAGCAATAACAGCCCCCATGACTGCCCCATCCCCACCCTCCATATACATACTGCAGGGTCTAGTCTCCTCCCCTGCTTTCACTGCAAGTCATGTGTATGTGTGGTGGTCTGAAAACCCTGCAAACACTTTCATTCAAAAACAGTGAAGTTACTCTCTCTCTCTTTTTTGGTCATTTTACATCAGCATAGTTGTAATGGATAAGAGCGCCCTCCAGCAACAAGACCATCGACACAAACATGTCCTTACGTTAACAGTCAGCGACCTCTGTATGTAGGGCTGCCTTTCAGAAGCTGATAATGGCTGTACTAGACGCACAAGTCCTTGTTTAATTCTACTGCCCAAACCTTTGTTTCCAACTCAACCATCAACCGCCTATATCAGTGCTGCCACCTCCTGGATTGGTATGGAAATCAAAAGTTTGGGGATCCACACACACAAACATTTATAGTATATACAGACCATTTGACTGCACTATGGCTACACACCCAAATGACGTTCGTTAAAAACATTTCATGTGTCTCTGAGACATTCACATTTCCCAACCATCCACCCCCGATATTCCTTATCGAGGAATTCAGTCTCCCAATGTAAACTGTTGTCAGTGCTGCCACCTCCTGGATTGGTATGGGAATCAAAAGTTTGGGGATCCACACACAAATATTTATAGTTTATACAGACCATTTGATTGCACTATGGCTACACACCCAAATGACATTCGTTAAAAACAATGTAAACTGTTGTAGTGGTTTGGTGAGTAAACACATTAGATGATGAAAACAGAGGAGAGACACAGGAAAACAGCAATCATTCATTTAGCTTGTTGTTGTACGGGACACAGCCGTCACGTATCAGCCACAAACATTCCCACATTACAGAAGTTTTTAAAAACCCATTTACTTGAATG